TGAAAAAAAAAAAAATAAAATCACAAACATTTCTCTCACTAGCTTAAAAAAATGCCAATCAGCCCATTAGCTGATGACATTACATTGACAGGCAGTTAAAAAGCAAAACAAAGGTAAGTACATGTTAGCTAACATGAACTTTACCAGGAGCATAGAAACCCTGAGCATTTTTTAGCTCTTCTTTTTCCATATGAATAAACCACAAAAGTTGTTTGTTACAATGCAGACAGAAGCGCAGCTTTTGAGCTGTTGCAATCTTTTGTCGAAGAAAGTTGCAATTTTTCTTTTGACAACATTAGACAACAAACCAATCAAAAAGGATTTAGGTTCAAGTCCACAATCGATGGGGCTACATATATAAAGTAAGTTTTTATTCCGCTTTAGATATTCTGAACTTTAACTTGCCTCTTTTTTTTCTTGTTTGGCCACCGCCAGTTGCAGGCACACACATAGTGCAAAAGTTATGCGCGAAACAAACAGAGAGAATAGAGAAGAAAAAAACAAAAGATATTATAAACTAACATAAGAGAGGCAAGGTATAAGGAAAAGCAAACATTTCTTGGCTGCCTTCTTGGCTTCTTAGTTTTGCTGTCGAATTCATGTTGGACGCAAATTTATGACTGTCAAAAACTTCAACTGCACAATGCGAGGACAGAGACGAATGCGGCCGACGAGCAAGAAATATGCAAGGACCTGCCGCCACGTTCAACTTTAACACTTTACACTTTCTCCCATAAAAAAAAAAAAAACGACACGAAAGAGCATATCTTTGGCACGCCGAAGAAGACATACGCTTGCAAGCATTTGGCTCAGAGCTGCTTGAAAGACTTCCAATGGATGTCATATCATTTAATATGGTTGTGCGGGTATTCCTGGGATAATAGTGGAAGAATATATAATTGGGTGAATATAGAATTGCCGAGTTTAAGATATTCACGGGATTTTTTGTGTTAAGCTATTAAATAGATATTCTAATTTGAATGCAATTTTACTCATCTGTGTGGCGCATCTGGAAGTCTTTTTTTTTTCGTAACAGAAGTCATTTCTAGACCGATAGGCCTAAATGATACGCCATTTCCACTCTGATAGGATTTAGTTATTACAACAAACAACTTTCTACCTTCACAAGAGCTTTCTTCTGCCCTGATCCTAACCATGGAAGTTATATGATGTTGAGGATCGATCTCGCTGATGATCTATTTCGATGAGAGGCTATATCGACTCTACTCTTGCTGCTGATCTGCTATAAAAATATAGCTAAAGGAGCTCTATGCGTTTCATATTAAGTACCAAAAGAAGAAAATCCCCTTACAAGGCTATGAAAATGAAGTTTAAAAAAAGGGGAGAAAAATAATTTTTAAAGTTATAAATTTATGGAGTTTATAAAAAGTTGCAAGTGCCCGGTGACAATGGGCCTATTGGAATAAATAATATCAATCCTGAATTATTTGTATCAGTTAACGTGATGAATCTCGTTGAGATTTAAGTAAATTGTTATTGGAGAGGCAGGCGATATGCAGCAATCCATGCAAGCAAAGGAGCTGTCGATGTGCTGCCATGTCTGGCTGTCAGCTACAACAACAAGGCTAACAGCAAGGACAACAACGCATTTAAATCAAAGCCGCAAACCCATCAAGACATTTTTAATGACGCTCCAAGGCAGTCTCCCCCCAGCCCCCCAGCACCCCAGACCCCCACGTGGCACATGCCACGTGCAACTCGTGAGCAGCACGCCCGCTGCGCGCCTCGTGTCTGCGGTTTAAGGGCTCCCAGACAGGCAGCTCATCCAACCCAATCCAACCCAACTGATGCCACGCCCATCGACCACAACCTGACTGATATATACTATGCCTATATACACATTTCAAATGAAACAAATGCGAATTGTTGTCATTCAGCGACATCAACGAGGAAGAAGGCAGTCGATTGCTTTTATGCCAGGAGCAGGCACTTGCTGTCCTGTGTTGTGTGCCCGTGTTGCGGCCCGCCTCGTAAATGTTCATTAATCCGCCGGCAATGCAGACAGCGCAACAACAGCAGTACGAGTGTGCGTGTGTGTGTGTGTTGTGTGTGTGTATATTAATGCGGCTGGCAAAAGTAGCTTTTAATTAGCATGTTGTCTGCGAGCCGCAACGCAGCTCGTTTGTTGCAAGTTGTTTTGGGGATTTTTGAATGGCTTTTTGGTTGACTGGCAACAGCTCAGACGCAGGTGGCAAAACGACTAAGAAGAAGAAGCAGCAGCAGCAGCAGCAGCAGGCAATGCGAAATTCGCGGGCGTAGCACAGCACGTATGGGCGGGCGGCAATAGTTTTTTGGCGTGTCTGGAATAGCTGGCACAGCTGAAGAGGGCTCTGGAGGGCTTAAATGGGACTTAGGCTTAGAGCCGCACGCGGTTTGTGCGTTTACGATTTACGCAAACGCGTGGGCGTCGCTGTGGGTGTGGACGTGGCACATGAGTCTAATTAGTTATCAATAGTGGTTGCGGCAGGTTTTAAATCCTCGCTTAACATTCCTCTGGCATTTCTTTGAGTTAAGTTGTGGGAAATGACACAAAAAATTTGATCGATTAAGTCGCATTGAAAAGCTAATTAGCTATGCAAAAATTATAAAAGGAAAATCGACTTAAACATTTAAAAGTTCGATTCATTAAGCACATACGTACTTTTCTACCCACACCATCCACGGCAAAGCGGATTCCTGATTAGCTTCGGTCCTTATGGTCCGATCCTTATGAAATTTTAATGCTAAAACTGTGTGCATAGCAAAGCCTAAGGTTCTAGCTCTAATTATTATTTCAAATTTTGGTGGAGCGAGGGCAGTTTTTGTGGCTTCGGGTCCTAAATATGTAAGCCTTGCATTACTTAAAGTTAAGAAAATTAGTTTTAACATTAAATACAAAGATTTATAACTATGTTAAATGGGCTCAAACACCAAGTCTCAACTTTTGACTAAACGGGCCTCAAAACTACAAGATATTACAAGTCTGTAAAGCTTGAAGTAAACTCTAAAAGCCTTAGTTCGGTTCAGACAACCTTTTTAAAAGTTGGATAGATGACTTGTTCCTATAATTAAAATATATAAATTCCATATAATATAATAAATAGAGCAAGCGTGCATTAAATAACTTCCTCCAATGCTAAACATTAAACATATATTTTAGTATACGTTAGCTAAATATTTTGTGTGTTAAGCTCAATCAAGCATAAATATTGATTAATTCTCGTACTGCGCACATCCTCCTCTATCAAGGCCCCGCTGTGCTCGTTTCTTTTTAGAAGTACACGTATCAATTATTCGTAAACACTTAATAGCCCATTAGTTGGCTGCGTGCCACTCGTCATCCGCATAATTGCAGTCACGCACCTTTAAAATTATAGACTCTGGGCCTGACATTTTTCAACAAACTTGCAATTAGATTGAATTAGTACTGAAATCTTCAATATTTACTTTGTTTCATTTTGATTTTTTTTACTAATGTTTGATGTAAATGATTCCTTGTGTTTTTGTGTATAGATAAGCCTATGAAAACGACCTTAAAGTTGGTTAAAGTTGGTTAGCATACTTCTGGTCAAGGTTAAGTTAAATTGGTTTAATAGTAAAGCAGAGCAGGTAGAGCTAAAAGCTAAAAGACAATTGCTAAAGTATTAGCAAAAAGCAGCAGCCAGTGAAACGTTCCTGCTATAAAAGAGAGTCCGCGAAAGAGGAAAAGAGAGAAAGAGCTCCACAGGTAGGTGATGTATGGAACAAGCACTTTAAAAGTGCAAGAGACAAAACTAGAGAGAGAGAGAGAGAGAGAGAGAGAGAGAGAGAGAGAGAGAGAGAGAGAGAGAGAGAGAGAGAGAGAGAGAGAGAGAGAGAGAGAGAGAGGGGGGGGGAGTAATTGCGAGAGAGATAGTAGTAGGAGAGAAAGAAGTAGGCGAGTGAGGTACAGAGGAAGAGAGAACGACAAAGAGAGAGAGAGAGGGAGATCGTGAGAGAGAGTTACAAAGAAAAATAGAGATAGAGAGTGAGAGAGAAAGAATGAGAGAAAACGAGAGATAGAGCGAGATAGATAGAGAAAGATGTATGGAATACCCACTTCAATAGTGCAAGCGAGAGAGAGACAGAAATAAAAAGGGCGAGCGAGAGAGAGAGAACCTCCTTGGCCTCCGTCAATATCTACTTAAGTCGAATTAATTTGCCGCATTAGTCGGTTCATTGGCATGACGGTACTGATGCGCCACAAAACTGAGGCAATGTCAAGCGCCGTAATTTGATGTCGTCAATGAAGTAGGCGCTGTGGCGAGTAGCAAGTGTTGGGTAGCGTACAAAAGTTGGTTTGAGGGGTGGGGGCGAACACTGTTCAAGTGAATTTCTCAGTGCACGCTAATCAGACGGCACGCAGGCGCATGACACGAAAAAAAATAAGCAAACTTAAGGGCTGGAGGGGGAGACGACAGCAGCTAAAGGAGGTATTGCAGTTGTTGTTGTTGTTGTTGTCGTTCTCGCTGCAATTGTTGCTCATTGTTGTTGTAGCTGTTATGATTATTAGCCATAAAGTGCTGAAGCTGCTGTTGGCTGGGCCCAGGCCTCCTAAGTAACACGATTTTTCTTCATTATTATTTCTTGGCACGCGATCTGACAAGTTAGACGACTTGCCGTTGTCGTTGTTGTCGTTGCAGTTGTTATTGTTGTTCATTTGTTGTTGTTGGACTTTGAGCTAGTCAAGCAAGCTGTCGCCATCGCCATCGCCTTGGCTGTCGTGTTATGCGATTTACATGAAGTGTTGGCGAAGGCAAAATTTTCACGACGCCTGCCCCCAGCCGGCGCGCCAACCGGCCTTGCCCATTTTCCTAACAAAAGCGGCCAAGCACCAACACCCCAGCACAGCCAGCACGGCCAGCACTGGCTAGCCCCTGATGTCTATCTTGTGTATATATCGTATACAATATACATATATATATGTGTAGAGTGGGTATATATAATCCACTTTTATAAAGAAATTACATTTGACGACTTACTTGCAATTAGCCACGTCTGCAACCTGTTGACTTGTTGCGTTATTGTTGTTACTGTTAATGCTATTGTTAATGCCGTGTGCTTTTATATATATATATATGTATTTATATATTGCCGAGTTTCCACAACGATCTGTAAAACAAAAGACAAGCGATAGTTTTTACATGTGTCTTGGTACAAGTCATCTTTGAGGTACATATGTCGAATTGCGGCAATTATTAAAGATTGCCTGACCACAATTAGATGCCAATTGTTAGCTCAAATTCTGCGTCAGAAGAGAGCAAAGACGAAAGCAAAACCCAGTTGAATTGCTGATTAGTACATATTGTATATATAATATTTTTATTTAAAAAATTGTTGACCCATTTCTAGTCTCGCACTCGACAATTATTCATTAGGTAAACCCATCTCGCTTATCTGCTTGGTTGTTTTCCACAAGGGTTTTTAGTTTCCTTAATTTGTGGAGATTTTATCGCAGAACTTGACACCAAAAAATCTTGACAGCAAACAACAAAATATATATAAGAACACTAAAATCAAGAGCTCGCTAAATCTGAAATACCCTCGTCTACGGATGACAAGTGTGTGATGTACTTTTTTAATCCATCCTCGACTGAACTTTCCTGCGGCATATCTATATCATAATATGGTATATAGTTCGATGTTTGAAGAGGAATATATTATGTCAAGCTGCTTTTGGTTAAGAGATTGGAAAGAAAACACAAGAGTTGTTCACACAAAAACTGCATTCTAGACGATACTATATCAGCTATATGATATAGTGTGTCGATCTGGACGACGTGTGCTGCCTGAGTGACAGACGGACCTGGTATAGCGCCTTGGTTATTAATTACGATTCATACTATGCATATATTCTTCCTGGAGTCGAAGGCGTTGTCTTCAGCCTTTGTGACAAAACCAAGAGACCCTTTAAAAGGGTACATGAAAATCCCCCAGAGATTACGGTAATTGATCAAAACATAATCGTCTAGTGGTAAATCAACAGGTGCGTTTACTGTTTAATTCACTGTTTGCCTGCGTGCTACCGATTCGGCCATCGCTGATAAAAGACACACATGAAAAACATGTTATCTATTTGCTTAGCGTAAAAAACACAGCTACTTGAGATCTGCCAGCCAAATCTTATCAGGCTTAGCAATGGGCCGGAACCGGTCTCTCCCTCTCTCTCTCACACTCTGCGAGCTCTCTCTTTTTGGTAAGTCTGTGCGGCGACGGTCTGTGTCACGTGAAAGATGTGCGCAGCTTGGTTAATTGCAAAGAAAGAAAAAAACTATTTGATTAAAATGTAGAAAGAAAAAACATTAATTTAATGAAATTTTATGCACATATGTGTATGCATATATGTTTATATGTACTACATCACAAAGGCGGGTGGGGGCTGGGCTAAGATGTACAGTTGGCTTGCCGGCGGGGCACAGACACATTACATTTTCTGCTCCAGATACGCTTTTCACAATTTTTACACATACACAACACACGCGCGCACGCAGCAGATGCCGACTTTTGATTTTACTTTTGCCAATGCGGCGTATGCGCAATGTTTGCGAGCGGAGCGTGCGCACAGAAAGCAAACAGCGCCGAAAAACACACAAGCAGATAAACAAACAAACAAACAAACAAACAAGTGAACAAACAACACACACAGACACACAAAACTGAGTATAAGCTGGCCCAGTCAGTCAGTCAGTCAGTCAGTCAGTCTGGCAACCACTGAGCCATGGGCGTTTGCAAGTCTTTATATGTATGTATATATATATATATATATATGAAAAGTGAAAATTGCATTTGCTTTTAATGCAGCTGAAAATTAAGTCGAAAATGTGTGGCAAGGTTGACGGTCAGATTGTTGTGAACAGAAAACAGCAATGAGCTGAAAATTGGGCGGAGAAATTAGCTGTCAATCAGCCAAAAGAGAAGTGTCAGTATATATATACATATAATTCTCACCGGGCCAAAAGAAAAGCGAGGAATACTTATCAACATTTACTTTTCCCTTAGACGCAACATTTTTTACTGCGAAGGAACAAGGAAAATATCCAAAAGTGAACAGCATAAAAGCTTAGTCATTCGAAAGTTTAAAGAAAAACTCTTTTATCTAAATATATTTAAGCATGTTTGTAATCTTTTGCTAAAGAAGCGACTCATTTTACTAAACTTACTAAAGTAAATCGCAAATGTATTTATATATTTAAATAGTATATGTAAAAACACACATTTTCAGCCATGTTAGTGAAAAGACAGGTTCACAAAGCGAACCTAAAGGCAAGGAGTTGGTTCGAAGCGTGAACGGAACCACGAACAGTTCTTTTTGTTGTTGTTTGCAGCCCTGATTTAAGTTTGAAGAGAGAGTTTTTGTTTTATTTATTGTGCTTGTCTGTCTAAAACGAGTCAATTATCGCACCCACACACACGCACACACACTCGCTCAGACAACCCTTAACGTACACGCACACACACGCACACTTTGTAGATGTGGTTATCCTGATCTCATCAGTTAATCTCATTGCACTCACATATGCAAAACTCATTGGCATTTGTCGGCTGTCCAATGTGCCCACATCACGTGGCCAGACGGCAATGGCATCGATGCCCAGCATCATCAGCATCATCATCATCATCATCATCATTAATTAAACACTTAATTAAAACTGCAGCCGACTGGAGGGACCTACGAGAGTGGGGGGAGGGCTGGCAGCGGCGGCGGCGATGTTTGGATGCAATTCAGTGCGCCACATGTGAATGGATGGAAAAGAGCAGGAGGAAGAGCGGAAGTGGGGGATGAGGGCAATATAAATTGATTAGGCGGCATTTTGTGAGCGCTTTCAGCAGTCAACTGGCAAAAAGCAATAACAACAGTTAACGGCATTTAAAATGTAAGCCACTAAAAGCAAAAAAGCAACAACAAAAACAAAAACAACAATGAGAGCAACTAATAACGAGCAAATAATAGGTTTAATAAATAGATATGTATATAAACATATATAGAAATTAACGCAACTTTCATTTTTCGACATGAATTTCGGGCACAGAATTGAGCAAGAGATCGAAATGGTGTGAGTGAGAGAGAAGCGATAAACGATAAGTGGCGGGCGATAAGCGATAACTGTTTACATGCTATACACTCGGATTAGCAGCCAGTGAGAGTGTCAGAGTAAGAGACAGAGAGGGGGAGGGAGAGGGGGGAAAGAGGAACGTAATGCGATGACATTCTGTTAAAACTAGTTTTTCGTGCTCTACTCTTGTCACCCTGTCCCACACATATATGAGCGGTGGGTGAGTGAGCGAGACAGCACTCGAAGTGCATTAATAGCCAACATTTTGATAAGCTTTCGAGACGGTAAATAAAATATAAAAAAATTCATTGACAACACGAATTTTGTATTGAGGTGATTTCGATTGAATGGGACGCGAGATAAACGGTAAATGATAAGCGAGAACACTGTAAATATAAGTATAGGTATTTATAAATAGTTTGCTGATTAACGAGGAATAGTTCCTGTGATAATTGAGAGCGAGAGAGAGAAGCAAATAAGAGAGCATTAGTTATTAAAATCATATAATTATATATTATACTGATATATATTGATAAAAAGAGCTACAAGTAAATATATCAAATGTTCATGTACATTTTAATTAATCTGCATGACAGTTGAATGAAACGAAAGATCAAATGTAACAAATTCCCATTTGTTTATACTTATGTTTCCCAAAAGCTGATTTAAAAGATTTTAAGTTTCCTTAAATGAAATCATAGCTAAATGATAACGATAAAAGATAAATCGGTTATCAGTTATCGATAACAATACATTGCACTACCAGCTGATTGTCAAAAAGACGCCTTGCTCTCTAAGCTTAGCTTCTTGAAAAAGTGCAGATTTCATAAAAAACAACTCCTGCTAGGTTAAGGCAGACCAAACTCCATTTTCTTCATCTTAACCAAAGTATGTCAACTAATTGTTGCACACAATTGCAAGCGATTTGAACAGTTCATATACGAAATGAATGTGGGAACAGATCCATATGAATGCGCTGCCCGCTGTTCCCACAATACATATATAGTTCTGTTTACCGTTTTACATTTATGCAATTACATTGACAAGGGGCGATCCCGAGGGGGCAGCTGAACGACAAGAAAAACGATAACGAGAGCAGCGAAACCCGAAACCCGAAAAAAACACACACACACACAAAAATGAGAGCAAAACGCAATCAAAGGCTGTTTATCTTCTTGACTGCTGAGTCGCAGTCCTTTCTTTATATTTTTTTCCGTTTTGTTGTTTCTTGTTTCTTGTTTGTTGTTGTTTTTTTTTTTTTTTTTGGTTCATCGGGCAGCGAATGAGGGTCACACAATGGGCATAGACGGCCTTGGGGTGCGCTGCTGTGCCCCCTCCCCTTGGCCTGCCCGTTCGATTTTCAAGTATTATTCATTTACATTTTCAATAATAATAAAGAAAAAAGAGACCGGAAGAAGAAGACAATCATAGTAATATGTGTAATATAGTGTGTAATACATAAGTAGCTAAGCAATTTGTTATTGCCCCTGGTGACCGCCGAAACATTTATTATTGCCAAAATCGCCTATCAAGTATTCAATAGTGCAAATTTTCTTGCTGCCAGTGTTGGGCAGTGGGCAGTGAACAGCGGGGCGTGGTCCATGTCCGTGTTCATGTAAATGAAAAGGAATTGTTATAAATTGTCTTGAACCTTTTTTTTGCCGTTGTTCGCCTTTCTGACTGTCGTCTTGCCCTTTGATACGCTTGCAAAAGGTATTATTGGTTTGGTCACAAGTCTTGTAACATGCTAAGAGAGGACCCGGTAGAGGTATATGTGTATATATATGTATTATTTCCGATTAATTGTGAACTGAGTCGATCGGAACCCTTCACTTTCCTATATTATATGCTAGTTTCTATACCGATCATCGAAATTTTACCATTGCAAATATTGTTTTTCTCTTTTATTCCCAAATAGATCTTGTTTGAGGCAATTATAAATTCTGTTCTTGATCTGATCTGAATTCTTTGCCTAAGCTCTGCATAATATTAGTTTGCAACAGATACCTTTGAAAGGGCATTTACAATTCGTCAAAGTGTTTTTTTTTTTTTGTTTCG